GAGCACGGGATTAGAGAGCACGGGATTAGAGAGCATGGGATTAGCGAGCACGGGAGCAGGCAGAGGGGGGGCCGGCCGGCCGCGGGAAGCAGGGAAGGGGGAGAGATAAGTGCTGTCCAGCAGGCGCTTCAGCCTCTGCGTCTGCGGCAGCAGGGAGAAGGGCACCAGATTGGCCACTGAGCTTGAGTCTCAGCCTCACTTTGTCGTGTTGTTCATTTGGTCCCAAGGACGTTCCTGTAAGCAGTGAGCACATTCCCGGGCCCCGGAAGGTGGAGTAGCATGACTCCGTAGTTTTCTCGGCTGTGCTGTTTACAGGGCAAATCTCCAGGTCTTGCTTCTCATGGAGCAGCAGGTGGACTAAAACCGCTGTCCTTTCCGTTAGCAACCAAGCGCTCTAAGCACTGCACCACCAGGGCCCTGTCCCAAGGACTGGCGTCTCCCAATATCCATACAAGCCGCCCTTCCTCTGACAAGGACAAAGTGACTGCGGCTCATGGCTTCCCCTGTGTGTCAGAGTAGATGGCTGACTGTTGAGAAATGGATCTCCAGGCCTTGCTTCTGAGAGGCCCCGGCTAGATGAGGACTTCTAGCCCTGCAGTTAGCAGCGGGGCACAGAAGCACGCCACCCAAGGACTCCTCACAAAGGATGCCGTCTCGACCTGACCAAAGCTCCAGAATCCTTGGACTCAGGACAAATACACTGTTATTAATAGCACCACAAACGACACTCATCCTAATCTGCTGCTGCACCCACCCCCACTTCTGCCAGCCGAGATGAATTTGTGTTAGGCTGTCTTTCTCTTCCAGGGACCAGTGAGCTTGTGCTAGTAGGGTGACTGCAGCACAGGAAACCATATTTGAGCGCAGGAGCTCCGCGGATGCTTGAGCTGTGAGGGAAGGAAACGCGCTGGGGAGTATTTGAGTGACAAGAAGTTAAGGTGTTGCAGTGAGATTGCTCCCGTCAGGCCATAGAGCAGTGGTTCTCAACCTGTGGGCTGTGACCCCTTTGGGGGTCGAACAGCCCTTTCACAGGGGTTGCCCGATTCATAACAGTAGCAAAATGACAGTGATGACGTAGCAATGAAAATAATTTTATGGTTGAGGGTCATCACAACATGAGGAACTGTATTGAAGGGTGGCGGCATTAGGAAGGTTGAGAACCACTGCCCTAGAGGGTCACTTTGGCAGTACAAGAAACTGAACAACTTTTAAGGTTTTAAACGTTGGTCTGGACTCTGGGGAAGGACACTGGTGGTAAAGACAACAGTCTTCATTTTTCCACCTACAATAAAATGGGAGGGCAGCATCATGCACACCTGCAGGGTCTGTGAAGTTGAGCTATACTGAGCAAAGGCTAGTGGTACCAAGTTCATGTACCTCAAGGAGGAAGGTTCTAGTTCCGGCTCTGCCTAAAGGGCTCACCTGGTCCTAGGTAGTAATGCTCCCTCTGGATCCCCACTGGAGCATCTGTTTCAGAGACTGGCAAATTATGCCCCATGGGCAAAACCCAGCTTGCTCCTCCTTATGTAGATACGGTTTTGGGGGGACATTGCCTTGCCCACTTTGTCTATGGCTGATTTGCGTAGCTGCAATAGGAACCGTAAAACCCACAAAGTCTGGAATATTTACAATCTGCCCTCTGACGGGTTTGCTGATTCCTGACTTGAAGGACAAGAAAGCTAACTAGATGCTGCCGCCCAGAGTGTGGGTGCAAACACAACAAGGGTACACACCCCAAAGCAGGGCTGGTAATAGTCTTTGCTACAGAGGGCTGAATGCAGGGAGAAGTTGAGAGGAGGGCACGCAATACATGTTAACATTCTGTACACCCAATCCGCACTTGTGGCATGTTTAGGTCTCAAAGACCAAGTTGTTATGCAAACCTCATTTCATAGACAAAAAAAAAAAAAAAAAAAAGAGGATGACATCAGATCACAAAGTGGAGGATGACTACATCATTGCATAACTACTAAATTTCATCATTACTTAACTGCTGAGTCACAAAGAATCATCGCTCAGCCAGTGGACAAATAGCCTTAACTGTCACAGCCACCTCACACCTCAGTCTGTGACTGCCAGGCATATGTCACACACAGGCAAAAGAGTTTGATAAGCTTTGTTTTGTGTTTTACTTTTGTTGTAAATGTGAAATGTCAGATAACAAGAGAATCGGTAAGTGAGCGATAGGTGTACGGACCATTTTGGATACAAGGACTTCTATTTACAGTTATTTTCTGATCTGAAAGAAATGAACCTTTGTTAATATCTCTGATATTAACATGCAAGTTTGTGTATATACTTTATATGTAATTTGATCATTTACAATCAGTATTAAAAACAATGGCTCGCACTGTGTGTGCACTTACTGTGTCGGGTGTTGTAGCAGCTTTACATGCATTAGTGCATGTCACCGTAGTCACCGGAAGACCGTCCCATTGTCCCCATTGGGCAGATGAGGCTAGTGAGACAGCACAGTTCAGTCACTGCCCCAGTCATGCAGCGAGTGAGTGGTAGAGCTGAGTTTGAATTCCTGAGGCCTCTTATATGCACACATACCATATGCACTCGTGTCTAAGCTGAGATTTTCAGCACATTTTTAATGCAGTTTTTGTAGTAAAAGTAGGTGCCTCGGCTGATATTCGGGTCGGCTGAAACTCAAGTATACATGGTATATTGGCTGGGCATCAAGTCACTGCCATGGAGTTAATGCCAACTCACAGCCACACTACAGGACAGGGCAGAACTGCCCTATGAGTTTCTGAGACCATGACTCCATATGGGAGCAGAACCCTGTCTTCTTCCTGCGAAGTGGCTGGTGGTTTTGAACAGCTGACCTTGTAGTTAGAAGCCCAATGCATAGCCACTATGCCACTGGGGCTCTGGTATGTCTGGGAGAGTAAATCACTAACTAGAGGGTAGACACACACTAAACTTGGGTGAAGGGGGAAAAGGCAAAATTATATATATAAATTACACACACACACATATATATATATATATTAATTACGCACACATGTATTAATTACACACATATAATTATATATTAGGGGAGGGGAGTAAATGTGTACAAAGCTGCCTAGTATTCTGCTTGTAACTTATTGGCTAGAATTTACTAATATGACCAAAAAAAAATTTTTTTTTAAATCAGTGGGCGCATAAGATTAGCCAGGGTTTGCTGTCCAGGGCGGCCTCCTGCTTGCACAGCCCTCCCCTCTATGTCTGTGGGACGGTGGGGTGTTGGCGACACACGGCTCCTCCCCTCCTGACCTGTCCCCTTCCTCCCACAGCCCACCCCGAGAGAGCCGCCCTGCTGTTTGTGTCCAGTGTCTGCATTGGCCTGGTCCTCACCTTGTGCGCCCTGGTCGTCAAAGTGTCCTGCACCAAGGACGTCCGGGAGCTGCAGCGGCGGAGGGAGCATCTGGTGGCGGGGAGTGACAAGGCGGAGGAGGACAGTAGTGAGGATGACGAGGAGGAGGAGGAGGGCTCCTCAGACTCGGATCTTCCCGGGGAGCGGTCAGCGTTTCGCAGGACTTCCTATCCCGTCTACAGCTCCTTAGAGGCCGCGGAGCTTGCAGAGAGGATCGAGCGCAGAGAGCAAATCATTCAGGAAATATGGCTGAACAGTGGCTTGGACAGCTCGCTCCCACGAAACATGAGCCAGTTCTACTGAAACCCCAAGCAGGAAGGACGCAGACACCCTGCAGTTCTGTTTTACTGGTACCTTCTGTGAAGGAGACTGTCTCCTACCCAAGGCTGGTGAAGCCAGGAAGATATTAAAATGGACCTTTCAAATTGTTTACAGCACATTCCAAAATAAAGCAGGTGTGTGGGGGAGGAGGAAGCCGCTGTTTTCTGGGCTGGCTTAAATGAATGCCGCGATGTCAATGTAACTGAAGTTCCTAACGCTTGCTGGTTTCCATCTGTTAAGCCCTTTATTCCTCACAACAGTGCGCAACAGTGCCCCGAAGCCCATTCTACCCACGAGCAGACGGGATTGTCTGAATAGCCCTGACGGCTAGCGTGGGCTCGTGCCCCACACCTTCTCTGTGGGTGGATTTCAATCACGGGCATTTAACTGTTGAGGGCCACGGTTCACACACTTTCCCGGTGAAGGACCAGCTGGTCCACATTTTAGACTTTGTGGCCCATATGTTTCTTTCAACCAGTCAATTCTGTCCAGCAAAAGCAGCCGTTTGTAAACAAATAGGAGTAGCCGGGTGCCGATAAAACTTTATCTCTGGATGCTGAAATTTGGATTTCATTTAATTCTTGCACTTCTCTGTATTTTTTTTTTAACAGCTTCGTTGTATATTTTAAATGTTAAAACCAGAGTGGTTCAAAAGCAGGTGGCAGGCTGGATCTGGCCTGCCAAGGCTTCACTATCCTTGAAGTCCACAAAAGCAAACATTTTGTTTCCAGCCCCTTATAGAACCAAGTCACTGACACCTGAGTTGGAATTCAAAACGCAGCCCTTCTGGTGATAAGAGCGCTTACCCAGCACTCCCAGGGCCAGCGTGCAGTAGAGTTAGTATGTCAGTCGTTGAAGAGCTAGGCGGTTCCAGAGTGCGGCGAGGGAATTGGGGAGGGAACGGAAGAAAGAGCGGTTCAGGAGAAGGAGGCTCCCAATGGGAGACCTCATTAGTGGTTCCTTGGAAGACACCCCAGTGGACTATAGGCTTCTAGCCCTGGAGTAGAATGGCTTGTTGTTTCCTTTCTTGCCCCTGTAAGGCTCAAAGAGGAGGCTCTAGGTCAGTGGTTCTCAACCTTCCTCATGCTGCGCGACCCTTTCATACAGGTCCTCATGTTGCGGTGATCCCCAACCATAACATTATTTTCATTGCTACTTCATAACTGTAATTTGGGTACTGTTATGAGTTGGGTGACCCCCATGAAAAGGTGGTTCGACCCCCAAAGGGCTCACGACCCACAGGTTGAGAACTGCTGCTCTAGGTGATATTAACGGTTAGTGCACTGGGCTGCTAACTGAATGGTTGGAGGTCTGACTCCACCCAGAGGTGCCTCAAAGACAGATACCTACACACACACAAAAAACCATCCCTTGAAAATTCTACGGGACACAAGTTCTCTACTCTGACACGCACATGGGCCCCCTATGAGGCGACTTCAACTCGATGGCAATGGCTTGGGGCAGAGAATAAAAATGACCATGTTCCATTGATCCCCATGCCCATGCGAGCAAGCCCGCCATGCCTTCTGCACCCCACCCCCACAGCATCCTGGAGGCAGGTGAGTGTGAACGCACAGTGGGGATGAGGAAGCAGACCCCCGAGAGGTTATGCATCAGGCCCCAAAACCAAGAAAGTGCTGGAGCAAAGATGTTCACGTTCCAGCCCACAGGTCTTGAGGGTGAAGAGCCATCTGCAGAAGGCAGCGCAGGGGAGGAGGCGTGGCCTGAGAGAGCCTCCCTCATCTACTAGGCCAGCTATCCCAACCGGCCAGTTGTCTGGTATTTGAACAGCCGTGCCACCAACACAAAGAACCAAACTCACTGCCAGAGAGTCACTGCGGACTCGAACTGACCCCCTGTGGCTTCGAGACTGTCACTATGTATGGAGCCAAAGCCCAGTCTGTCTCCCTGGCTGTTGGTTTCCAACCACTGACCGCCAGGGCTCCTAACCAAAGGGAAGCACATGCAAAATGGCGTCCCCGGCAGTTTGTGAGAACCCCCAAGGCCCTCCTCCAGTGGAGGGAAGGGAGGGCAAGGTGCCTCAATGATGACACCCCCTCTCCCCACCCCTTGGCGCTGCCCCTTTCAAAGTGGACATTTCCAGACACAGGGCAGTGTAAGGTAGGGCTGCAGAGAGGGCGGCTGGATGGGTCAGCAGGGTGGACAGGCTGGGTGGCTGGAGCAGAGACCTTGTCCTCGCGGCCAGTGCAGACAACAAGGAACAGGCCACAGAGCCCGGCTGACACAGTTCAAGGCGGTCACTGCAGATGGAGGGGACACCCAGCTCCAGTGGCTCCCACTTGCACGAGGATTGTGTTCTGATCCAACAGAGCCGCTGGTCTCCCATTGTCCCTGAGCGCATCAGGGAGCATTTCTGCATTGTAGGGGCGGCCTTCCCCTGTCCCCACGGTCAATCCTCCGGCCCCTGGAACGGAGAGACGGTTGACCTGATGGCTGCCTTCTCTGGGCGGAGGTCTGGTGGCTGCAGGTTGCACTTCACCCGTTCACAAAGGAGCTGCCGCCCCCCACCCCCCAACTGACCTCAGTCACCAAGGCGCCTGTTGAGTTTCACATTGGTGTTCACCGAGTCCCCTCCTACCGACCACATGCTCACAGGCCCACCCAGCGCCCTGCAGGGGCACCTGGAAGCCAGGCCTGCCAAGGCTCGAGGGCCCACTGCAAGGGTCAGTCTTGGGCCTGTGCAAATGAGTGGGTTGTATGTTTGCATTTTCCAAGCCCCAAAGAGGAATGAAAGGAGCCTGTGGGTCCTGCTGAGAATGTGTTTGGATGGGCACAGAGCCCAGGAGGAGATGTGACCCAAGCAGATGCAGATGAGGGAACGCAGACGGTGCGCAGAGGCTGGAGGAAGCTCCACGTGGACTTGGGGCATCCCCAAACTGAGGTTCCATGGTTTCCTCGCCACGGGGTTCCAGAAGGCTGCTCCCTCGGTGGGAGGTGTGCACATGTCACTATACCAGTCACTTGCTACAAATGCTGACTTTCCAGATGTGAGCTGCCTGCTGCAGAAGCCTGCTTTCCATCGCCGAGCCCATAGGAGGAAGGCCAGTGTTTCGTGGTGCTGTGGCATCTGTTCCCCCTCAGGGAGAAACCACGCACCCTAGGGACCAAGCAGTCTCTGTGGAGTTGTTAACGAGCCTTCCTCCAATCCTGATGCTACGTTCTTTTCATATAATACAGCTTCCCTGATTATTTGCTCAATTAACCATAGTAATCAAAATAAATACCAGGGTCTCAGTGGTGGATTCCTTCCTTGTGGGTAGTTCCAGGCCTTCCTGGGTGCCTTGACTTGTAAGCAGTCCTCATGGTATTTCTCCTCTTTCCCATGAGTGCACACTGTGATAGGCAGGGTTCTCTAGAGACTCAAAATTAGGACACTTATGATATATATATCATAATACATATATATATATATATCCTGTTATATATATATAACAGGATAGATAGGTTTATACAGATACTTATGATATATATATATATATGTATATATATATATATATATATAAATAACAGGATAGATAGGTTTATACAGCAAGAAGATATTTAACAGCTAATTAGTCCACACAGCAATACAGAGGGTTCAGTTCAACTCACTTCTGGGGAACAGTTAATATACTGGAAGTCTTTCAACTCACGTGGGCTGCCAGGGAGCAGACAGCAGAGTCCTCCCTGGGGCAGAGTCTGCCCACAGGCGGCAAGCAGCAAGGTGGGTTACCAACAGTCAGGAGCTCAGGAGCTTAGTGAAGTAGGACCGGATGGTAGATCGAACACAAGCAATGTAAGGTGATGGAATCCACCAGCCTCAAGCTCAAGTGATGTACACACCAGCAGCGTGGCAAAGCAGGTGTCGAAGGAGCCTCAAGCTCCAGCGACAGGATCCACAGATTGGCCTGGCCCACAGGTAGTGTAGCTCACAGGTTAAGGCAGAGAACCAACACACTTTGATCACTCGTTCCAACACACTTTGATCACCAGAGAGTAAGAGAGAGAGGGTCAGGCCTTGCAGAGCCATTTAGCTCTTTGTCCTCCACTCAAACTGTGACCTGATTAATCCCACATGTCCCTTATTGGCCAGGTTGCACAATAAACCTACCTATCAAAGGTAGGTTTAGGACCCACCCTACACTGATGGTCCATCATTAATATAACAAAGGAACCCTCTTCTCAAATGAAATTACACCCTCAGGTAGAAGCGTTAAGATTCTAGCACATATTTCTGAGGGGCACAACTCAGTCCATGAGATTTTAAAAAGATCATTTTATTGGGGGTTCATACAACTCTTATCACAATCCATACATACATCAATTGTATAAAGCACATTTGTACATTCATTACCCTCATCATTCTAAAAACATATGCTGTCCACGTAAGTCCCTGGTATCAGCTCCTCATTTGATATTTCCTTTCTCCTTATTCCAAGGGCTACAACCAGAGACCAGGAATGGATTTTCTAAGCTAGCAGGTCATCACTGCTTCCCCAACACACACACACACACACACACACACACACACACACACACCTCTGTTTTATTATGCCTTAATTACATTAAGGGTTGAGGAATTGTCTTCAAATTTTTCTGCAGCAAAATGCCAGTTCCTTGTAACCAACCAACCAAACAAAAACTGGTTTCTGAAGGAACAGTTGCCACAGAAGGAAATAGCACAGATGCTGAGTGCCGTGGAGACCGTGCCAATTTGCAGTGACCCCATAGGTCAGAGCAGAGCTGCCCCTGTGGGTCTCTGAGACTGTAAATCAGTATGGGAGTCGAAAGCTTCATCTTTCGCTGGCTGGAGAGGCTAGTCGTTTCAAACTGCCGACCTTGCCGTTAGCAGCTCAGCGCCTAATCCACTGCACCACCATGTACAACAACATACGCATGTTGTAAATTCCAATCCCTCTACTTGTGGTCATGGAGTTGGCCTGGTAACTGTAGGCCAGCTGTTCAAACTCCATGGGAGAGAGATGAAGCTGTCTGCTCCTGTAAAGATCTATAGTCTCCGAAACCTATAGGGGTGTGAGAACACTGTCAATACCCCGGGACCTTCTCCTGCTTCTTGGTAACTGGCGGGTTGTCCTAAGCCCCTGACTAGGACCATACCCCGATGGGTCTCCAGAGGAGAGCTGGGGTGGGCCGCCGTCTCCCATTTGAGGTTCCTGGTGGGTTATCATGAGTGTTTGCCGACAACGGAGTCTGAATCAACTCAATCGCAGTGGCATGTCTGGGATGTTCCCGTTTTGGAATGGGCTGTCTTCGTTGTCGTGTTAATGAGACAGCATTCATGTAGGGTGTGAGTTCAGTTCGTCTCCTCTGAGATGGAAAGAGCAGACGAAGCAAGACTGAAAGCACCAGCCGAGACAAGGAAGATAGCTCGCTGTGGTCGCCGAGGAATAGACACTCCAAAGGGTCAGAGCCGCCCAGAGCCAGCACAGAGAGCGAGCCTTTCCCGAGAGCTGGCAGCCTCCTAACGCGTGAGGAATAGTTTACTTGTAAAGTCATCCACCTGTGGCATTGCTCATATAGCGGGACTAGATAGCAAAGATA